AGATGCTGGAGACTGCGGTGGTGGCTGCGTATGTACTGTGCATGCTAGGGATCATTCCCATCACTGTTTCGAACTACTGTTGTTTCAACGACACAGTGTAAATGTTAGTGCACAGTGGGTTAGGGGACTTAGAGCCTAGATCCTGGAAAACAGGATTTAGCCAGGACGGTCAGGGTTTACCAGGCTTTTCGCAAGTAAGGCGTGGTCGGGTTAGTATGACTCGGGAAAAATGGCGTTTAAAAGGATTGCAGTAGCCCCAGTCCTAGTATCTTGCAACATATGTTCTTTCAAAGCAGCTCTTGACTCAATGTATAGTACTTAATGTATGGTGTCATCCCAAGAAATCCATTGTTGTACTGCCAAGAAGTCATCAGCCGGGAATGTGCGAAGATAACCTAAACCCGTAAATCCTGGACCCAAACCCACCACATCCCCTGAACCCCCTAAACATCCCAAACCCTAAACTCCCAAACCCTAAACCCCAAACCCTGAACCCTAAACCCCTAAACCCTAAACCCCAAACCCTAAACCCTAAACTCCAAACCCTAAACTCCCAAACCCGAAACCCCAAACCCTAAACCCTAAACCCTAAACCCCTAAGCGGAGACAGGTACGTACCCCACGAGGCGACTGCTCTCTCCGGTGCTGGGGCATCACAGGCTCCGGTGGTGGCAGTGGCCACCTCCGTGGTGTTCAGGGTTTCTTAGGGTGCTTAGAAATAGTTCTTAATTTTGGGTTATTATAATTCCTAAGAAACAGCTAAAATTGTAATTTTTGCTAGGGTTCTAAGTTCAGTACAGGTTTGGGGTTCAGGGTTTAGGGTTCAGGGGTTTAGGGGCTACCTCTCCACGATAATCGCAGAATATTTGCAACTCGATTCCTTCTGGCTTGCAACAACTCAGTGGAGTAGGACCTACACCCCAAAGTCTTTCCGAATCATATGGGCACCTGTATCCGACGGTCTTATGGGCCCAGAGTTCAGGTTAGTGGCCTAGTGTAGGTTAATGTAGACACGTCTGCCACTTAGGGTCTTGGGGTTCTGAGATCCTCAACTTGGATTTGGGGTGCAGGGTGTCGGTGTGGTGATGGGTCCACGGTGGTAGCATTGATGATGCTGATGATGATGCTGATGATGATGATGTTGCTGTTGATGATGACACAGCTTCTGATGCTGACAGTATTTATTTGTGTTGACGGTGGTGGCCATGCCACCGTCACTGGCGCTTGTAGCGGTGTCTCTCTGTGTTATTCTTGCGGTGGTTGTTGCTGTTGTTTTGGGTGGTGGTGGTGGTGGTGGTGGTGGTGGTGGTGGTGGTGGTGGTGGTGGTCGTGGTGGTGGTGGTGGTGGTGGTGGTGGTGGTGGTGCTGCTGCTGCTGTAGAATGCCGCTCATGACGGTCATGACCTGTGACATCGTCATCACTCTCATTGCTTTAACCACCAGAAAGCCATCTTCAGCATCATCGTCATCAGCACCAACACCATGCTGCTCCTGCTCCTGCTGCTGCTCCTCCTCCTCCTCCTCCTCCTCCTCCTTGTCATCACGCTCGCCGTCATCCTCAACCTTCACAGCTTCATCATCGTCGTCATGATCCTGTTTCATCCTCACCGTCGCCGGCATCGTCATCTGATGCGTTGCTGATCTCTGTTCATGTTTCCACGCATGTCGTGTTATCATCATGGTACTCCTTACTATTGGAATCTGCGTGGCCGCGTGCGACAGTTCCATGCAGCTTTTTCCGCCTTTTTAGTGACCTGCATCTCAACCCTTCCTGGCGCGAAGCTGACAGGCCATCACGTCGAATCGAGTCTCCTTCTTGCTTCATGGCCGCCTTAGTGACGAGAGGATCCCACGTGCCAGATCACTACACTCTAAGCCCTTATACTCTCACCCGCAATCCAAACCCTAAACGCACAAAGCCCCAAAGCCTGAACCGTAGCTCTGTGAAAGGGTCCGGGCAAAAGTGTCTCAGGGCTCGATTGGTGTGGGGATGTAATCAAACTTTAAAAGGTGGCTTGGAGAGACTGTGGAGATGTCGGCGTCCAGGCTTTAGGATCCCGGCTTGGTAAGGTTAAGGGTCTGGGGTTTCGGGTTTGGGGTTTCGGGTTTCGAGTTTCAGAGTCTGGGTTTTTGTTTCAGGGTTCAGGGCTTAGGGGGAGGATTCTCAAACCCTAAGCCCTAAACCGTTCTAGTGATAGGCCCATCCTGCAACCACTGCCCCGAACCCTAAACCACAAACCACAAAAAGACAATCAAAGCCCTCAGCTTGTGTTTAGGGTTTAGGGTTTAGGGCTTTGGGTGAAGAGTTTCCGAAAATAGGGGACCCTAAATAGTAGGATCCTTATTATTAGGACCCCAAAATAAGGTCCCGAACCTCTAAGCTCTAAGCACGAAGCCCTTTAAAAGAGCCCGCGACCCCGTACAGCAACCGTGTAACACTCTACACAGCACACGCAAAGACAGGAGCCACGCCAACCCACCACCCCACTCTAACCACAAGAAAATCAGAAACCAACAAGGAACATACACCAGACCCCTAAACCTTAAACCCCAAACACTAAGCCCTAAACCCTTAACCCTAAACCCTAAACCCTAAACCCGCCCGTATGAGGGTAGGCGCGCTTTGGAGAAAGGGGCGTCGTTGCACTTAAAAAAAAACCCTAAACCCCTAAACCCCTAAGCCCCAAACCCTAAACCTTAAACCCGCAGCTCCATATTTTGCCCCCTAAACGGCCCTAGACCCTAACCGAAAACGCTGAACCCCGAGCCGGAAACCCATGCACTCTACACCAGCTTCTACACCCTAGGAGTCATCGACGCGGCTGGTGGTGGTGGCTGGGCACAGACCACATGTGTCAAGGCCCTTCCTTCTCAAAGTCGTTATGGACATGGTGAAGGTTGCTTCGTCCCATGGTCAGAGCAGCGTACCCAATCCTGAAAGTGTCAAGATCATGACGGCCTTGCAGAAGAAAAGCAGTCTTTTGAGGTTCCATGACACTTTACCCTTGGAAACAGGGTCAACGGTCGATGCCTCCATGTCAGATGAGACTTTGGCTCTCGGCGAAGTGTCAGAAGCAAAGACGACAGAGGAGAACGCCACCGACATTCCTGCCATGGAGACACTCACTGCCGATCTTTGCAAAGCCGGCAAGTTGTCATACTTGGAGGGGCAGGGGACTTAGTAAGTAGGTTATAAGTAGGGTCACAAGTACTTTAAATGGAGCTACCACAATCATAACCCTACTTATAACCTACTTACTAAGTCCCCTGTCCCTCCAAGTAAGCCCTGTCTGACCCTTAAAGTGAGCTACCTACTGGCGCTATGACACCCGCCGTGCAGCACAACAAGCAGCATCCGAACCCTAAACCCTAAACCCGATGCCCTAAACCCAAATCTAAACCCCAAACCCCATGCCCTAAGCCCTAAGCCCTAAACGCTAACCCTACGGATCTGCTGGTCGAAAAAGGGGCGCTTAAAAAAAAAACACCTAACCCAAATCTAAACCCGTACATGGCGCCCAACAAGGCTGGGGATCATGGGGCCCTCCACGTCCATCGACTGTGACTTGGCTCGGGAGTACCATACGGGAGTTTCCGAAAATTGGGGGTACCTCATCTAGGATGCCCAGTAGTATCCTTATTCCCTTTTTGTAGTCCTAGGTTCCTTATAAAGTTACCCAATACCGAAAAGAGAGGCCTTTTTCTTAGGTTACTGGGTATCCTAGTTATTTTGGGGTACTCATAATAAGGATCCTACTATTCAGGGTGCTCTGACCTGTCTCCATCCCGGCCATCAATAATACTTTGTCATAGTTGGGTAACATTTTACCTTTTTATGGGTACTTGAACCCAATAAGGAACAAAACTGTACATGTTTAATTCTATCCCAACAATGAGCTAGACCATGCCGCATTCCACCTTCTTTCGCTGTTCCTCAAAAAAACCCAAGAGCCCTTACCCCCTAAGCCCTAATCTCCTACACTCTGAACCTCTAAAGCCGTAAACCCTCCTAAACCCTGAGCTCTACATCCAAAGCCTTAAACTCCAAATCGTCAAAACCTTAAGTCCTGAACCCCTAAACCTTATTATGACAAAGACATTTATGCTTCTTTTTTTAGGGGTTGTTTCAATCAGGAACCAAGAAGGCACCCAAACTGTTGGGTGAGATATCCCAACCTTATTGGCTTGCACAAAGAGTGGATTATGGGATATCCCAACCTCATCAAGTTATCGAGTTGGGATAATTCCTAACCGTCCTAACATCCCGTATTGCTTGTTATAGAACCCGAGGATAAGTACTTGTGGGAGCTGTTGAACTCGACACAACCCTAAACCCTAAATCCTAGACCCCGAACCCTAAACCCTAAACCCTAAACCCTAAACCCTAAACCCTAAACCCCTAAACCCTAACCCCTAACCCCCAACCCCTAAACCCTAAGCCCGGAACCCCTAAACCCCTAACCCCCTAAACCCAACGTCGTGGTTTCTGTTTGTTCGCATGTCTTGGGGTCCCACGTCACAGCGCACAAGGATGCCCAGTAGTACCCTTATTCCCTTTTTGTAGTTGCCCAATCCCAAAACCCAGACCCCCGGGAAGATGTGGAAAGTAGATCCCCTAATTTGGGCCCTATATTACTACGGGTACTTTACAGGAGCCCCCATTAAGGGATCTACTTTTTGGATCCTCCTGGGGGTCTGGGAAAGGGAGCCCTTTGTATTCCTAGGTTACTGGGCATCCTAGCCCACTTGGAGGGTCGGGGGACTTAGTAACTGGTTATTTTAGGGACTTTTAAGTACCATAACCCCAATTAGGGTCCCTTTTAGGGTACTTGTAAGTCTACTTACGACCTCCTTACTAAGTCCCTGAACCCTAAACCCTAAACCCTATACTACCCCTATAGAGCCCTTTAAAGGAACCCTTAGAATCCCCTTTAAAGGACTACCTACTTACTAAGTCCCCTAAAGACCCTCCAAGCCCAGGTGACCTCGCCTCGGCGGCCATGGCTTTGTGCTTGGGCAACTCCGAGACTCAGCTGGGAGTTGTTGTTTAGGGGTTTAGGGTTTAGGGGTTTAGGGGTGTAGAGTTTAGGGGCTTAGGGTTTAGGTTTTAGTAGGGCGTTAGAGTATTTGTATTTTTTTTTTGTGAGGGTTCTTCTTCTAGGCTTTTTTCTCGTTGGCTTATTTCGGACCATGTTTCCTTTGATAGGGTTTTCACTGGTGGTGGTTTAGGCATTGGGTTTGGGGTCTTCAGTTTGTTCCGGTTTAGGGGTCGGGGCTTTCGGGGCTTTGGGGATTTGTGATATGGGTCCATATGCCCTAAGCCTACATAAACCTGTACCTGAAACTAAACCCTAAACCCTGTACCCCAACCAATCAATAGCCGAACCGCTTATAGTCTTAGATAGTGAACGGGGGAACTTTAAACTTTTTGGCTTTTTACATTAGACCTAGAAAGTTTGACCTTGTTGAAGAAGAGAGTAGGAGAAACGAGAAAGTTGGAACATCATCATTATTCCCACGCCCTTAAGGTAAAGTGTAAGGAATCCCTCAAGCCATGTTCCAATTTTTCTGGCTTCTACGATATGGGTGGTTGTCAAAATTGGGGTCCCTTTTTGGGTACCCTAAACAATAGGTGCCGTACTATAATAGGGACCCAAAAACCTAGTAGTAGAGTAGGTAACCTTTAACCTTTTTTGAGTAGTATAGTCCCTATATAATCCCTGTATAACCAAAAAGGTTAACCTTGAGTTGCCCATGATACCCGACAAGTAGGAAAGAGGAACCTAATACTTAGGGTCCCTTTTTGGGTACCCTAAATAATCGGTGCCCTTAGTATAATAGGGACCCCCAAAAAGGGACCCTAAGTTTGACCACCATCCATTTAGAAACGGATCCTAGCACAAATCCTCCTAAAGCCATGTTCCAATTTTCTGGCCTCCACAATATAGAAACCCCAGTAGGCCAACGGCATTCAGCTTTAGAAGACCTGGAGGCTCTCGGTTCCTAGGAACCTAAGACAAAAAGGCGCCTGAGTACCCTGGGGTTTAGGGATCCATAGGGGGTTCCTTTAAAGGGATCCATAAGGGCTCTAAAAGGGATCTATAGTGTTTAGGGGTTTTAGGGGTTTAGGGTGCAGGGTTCAGGGTGTAGGGTTTATCGGTCTAGAGTGTAGGCTTTGGGCTTCAGCGTTTAGAGTCTAGGATTTAGGGTATAAGCTTTAGGGTCTAGGATTCAGCTTTAGGTCAAGCAGGCGAGGACCTTCCAAAACGCACTTGCAACGAACCATAGGAACACATGAACGCACTACCAGGCTCCATTGCGTTCTCCCTCGGCTTATGGCTTGTCTAGGCTACTGATATTTGTAGCTATCAGTGTTAGTGTGACTGGGCGAAGTCTTCTTGGTATATCCCTTTTGATTCCCGGTTCTCTTCCCCATGCTGTCTGCGCCGAAGCCCAAACCTAAACCCCGAACCCCAAACGTTTGACGCTAAAACCTGAGCTTTAAAGGCCAAGCCCCACACTCGAAACCCTAAAGCGTTTATAGGAACCCGTGCAGAAACAAACCCTGAGCCCAAGAGCTTAAACAAGGAACAAGCCACACACTATGGATATATGGTGCCGCGTCGCCGCGTCGCAGGCCCCCGCCCGCCCCTCCCCACCGCCCATGGTATGCCCGGGGCGGACAACCCACAACACATGGAACCACAAGACAGGGAACCACAGGGACGGGGTGGGGAAGGATAAACAGGGCCACTTCCTCTTCCCCTCCCCTTCGAGCCACAGATGAGATTGAAGGCGGGGATACCATGGGGTGGGGGGGGAGAGGGGGGGCCTAGCAACGCTGCACCATATATAAGGCCCTTTTTGATTGTGGCCCTTTAGAAAGTAGACTGTTGCTGCATGGGGGCAGTACCCAACCCTTCACCGTCTATTACCGTCGATGCTGTCCGAGGCTGTCTCAAACAAGCACGAGCACAGGAACAAAAGCGGCGGTCAGGGGCTCAGAGATCGTAGGGCTTTCGGATTAGGGTTCAGGGTGTAGGGTTGAGGGTTTAGGGTTTAGGGGTGTAGGGGTTTCGGATTTAGAGTTTAGGGCGGGGCTTGGGTAGAAGGTGTCCTTAAAAGGGTTCTTATAAGGGTCGCATAAGGGTTCCTGTTCCTTTAAGGGTTCTATAATTGAGGTTGACTTGGAGGGTCGAGGGACTTGGTACATGGTCAGTTTATAGGGTTATAGTATCACAGCCTTTCGTTTGTTTAGTACCTAGCTCTAGACAAGAACTACTTTCTAAGTCAAGAGATGCAACACACAGGCACTGGTGGTGGTATAGGTTGTGGTGTTTCGAGGTAGAGGTTGACATAAGCAGTAATTTTCACTGTCATGCACAGGCCTTCTACTTTGGTGATCGATGTAGTTTTCATTGCAGGAGTATAGAGAATGCCGAGAGCTGTGTTTGGCATGGAGGCTTCTGCATCTTCTTGGTCTGTGAGCCTCATGCGTGTCATGCCCCCAGGCGAGGCAGTAAGTAGGTAGCCATGAATCCCTAAACCCTACACCCTAAACCCGAAACCCTAAGCCCTAAGCCCTAAACCCTAAACCCTAAAGCCTACACCCTAAACCGTCTGTTCGACGAGGAAAGATGCTCATAGCCTAAAGCCCAAGGCCCAAGTTCTAGACCCAAACCCGCACCGGCGCACTCCCGGGGACTTGAGATCGACCACCGTCGGTTGATGTGGTACACCTCCGAGGGTAAAGGAGGGACCCTTAATAAGGACCCCTAGGTATAGAACCTTAATATAGCTATTCTATACCCATTATGTGGTCCATTATAGGGTAGGGTCCCCATTAAGGGTCCCTCCTTTTGCCCTTGGAGTCATGGGCTTTGAGTGATCAAGGCGATCCGAAGTCGCCAGGAAAAATACTTAAGTGCTTGTACAGGAATGGTAGCTTTACCCGGAATAGCAGGTCCCAGGCTTGCCTCGAACTGGTCGAGTCAGTATCAGTCAAGAAATGCTGTTGCGAGATTCAGTGCCGCTTGGATCTGAAGGGCAAGCCGCATTGTCAGTACAAGGATCATCGTGCGGCAAGTGCAGAGGCAATCAATCGATCCGTTCTAGATGGTGCGACCAAGCGGGCGCGACGTTCACAAACCCTAAACCCTAAACCCCGCTAAACCCTAAACCGCAATCTCACCGTCGACGTCGACGAGAAAGACGCCCCTGGCAGGAAAAACTACAATGCACTTGCGCCTGGGCCAGAGAGTGCTCTTGGAGGGGCAGGGGACTTAGTAAGTAGGTTATAAGTAGAGTTATAAGTACCCTAAATGGAGTTACCCCAATTATAACCCTACTTATAACCTACTTACTAAGTCCCCTGCCCTTCCAAGCTCCGGATCGAAGCTCACCCTCCATGCCCGCAGCCTTTGGGTTGTGTTGTGCAATACTGCGCATACGAGGCACCATCAACATTAAATGATAGTACTAGTGTAGTACTTGTAGTGCTGGTACCAATGATAGTAACACAGCAGTAGTGCTTGTACATGCAATAGCAGACGCAGTCAGGGCGACCTCCAAGATTTTGATACTCAGAAGTTGTCATAGTGATGGCAAGTAATTAATAGATATGTCTAGCTTGGAAATTGTCATGACCATACTTCTCAGAGCAGTTACAACCATAGGCGCAGGAGGTTGGAAATTTCTACCCTAAACCCTAATCCTAACTCTTCCCGAAAAAACGCTACACCGTAATCCTAACTCTTCCCCAAGAGACCCTAAACCCTGAAAGTCGTGGTCCGGACCCCCGGGTATGCGAGGCACAAGCACCGCGGCTGTGGTGGGCGGCGTGTACCTGGCGCTGACGTGCCTCGCCTGGTTCAAGGGCCCGGAAAGGCCAAGGGACTTTCAAAAAGTATTAGTCCAAGGGCAAAAGGAGGGACCCTTCATAAGGACCCCTAGGTATATGCCCTTAATATAGCTATTATATACCCACTATAATAGCCCATTATAGGGTAGGGGTCCCCATTAAGGGTCCCTCCTCCTCCCCTTTGAATTAGGGTAGGGTTTAACGTTTAGGGTAGGTTTCGAGGCTCAGACTAAGGCACTAAGGTTGAGTAGTCTAGGTGGGGGTTTTCAGGGCTAAGGGCCCGGGGTTGCGGCATGCAAAGGGCTTTTTCAGCTTCTGAGTTGCACCCCGAGCCACACAATCCTGAAGCTAATTCGCCAGAAGAAGTCACCCCAAAATAGTATAGGTAATAAGTAAGGCCCGTCTAGTAAATCCTTAAGATACATCCCTTATAGTAACCCTTACAGATCCCTTTAAAGGAACCCTTATAGATCCCTTTAAAGGAACCCTTATAGACCCCTTTAAAGGAGCCCTTACAGATCCCTTTAACGGAACCCTGCGGTCCATTCTTCGCCACCGAGGCCCTTCATGTGGCCGAGGTGGGAGGCCTTCATGAACCCCGGAGGCACCGGGAACTCCCACATGGGAGTTTCCGAAAATTAGGGGGTCCCTTATTTTGGGGTCCTTATAATAAGGATCCTACTATTTAGGGTACTATATTAGGGTCCCCTATTTTCGGAACTTCTATATTCATCATTAGGGGTTTAGGATTTAGAACCCTAAACCCCTAAACCCCCAACCCTAAACCTCTAAACGACTACACCGTAAACCCCAAATCCCTTAACCCTAAACCCTAACATAGTTTTCCGATCGTAACTTGTGAGCATCCATGAGGGAGGGGGTCCCAAGAGCTGTATGTAGCCCGGTAATCCGCGATTCTCCTCAGTACTTCCTTCGCTTCCCCAAGGTTCCCTAAGGATCTCCCAGTCTAGTTCCTTCAGGTTTAGGGTTTATCAAAGGGGAAGGAGGGATCTTTAATGGGGACCCCTACCCTATAATGGGCCATATAATGGGTATATTAAGGGTATATACCTAGGGGTCCTTATTAAGGGTCCCTGCTTTTATTCTTGGAGTTTAGGGTTCAGGGGATCCCATATTGTAACTGTTGCCATGAACGGAATGTTTGATTCTTGCTGTTGTGGTCGTGTTTGTCCGGTAGAATGGCTGTTGCCATTGTTTGCGCCTTTCTTCGTCGAATACTGCTACGGTCATAAAATGTTAAAATTGTGACCTACATAGTTTGGCAGCTAGGACTTCAGGGTGCTACCAAGTTTTCGTTTTCGCTAATTGCCGACTTAGGGCGTTCGAACCTGAACCCTGAAAAGGCTTCAAACTGCAACACTTTACGGTTTGGTGTTTAGGGTTTAGAGTTTAGGCTTTAATAATTACGTAAGGGTGTAGGATATGCCAGAACCCTCAAGAGTGTTGATTGCAAAGGTAGCCGAGGCAGGGCTTTGTTCAGTGTTTGGAGGTTGGGGAGCTTTAAACACCGTCCTGAAAGCGATGAGCGTCTGCCAGCTGTGCTCAAAATTAAACAGTTTGGTGTCTGCGTATCTTCGGTGTTTTTGCTGCGGATGCTAATAGTCAAAGCTCTTTTCACTAGCCAAATTGTAACGTGCTTACTGGGCTGCCTAGTAGAAGTAGGGTCACACTACTTTACTTGGCATGATAGCTACTTGAGCCAACTTGCAGCTGCCCACGGCCCTTCAAGTAAGCTTCGTCCCAAATCTTGAACTTAAGCCCTAAGCTCTAAGCTCCGTTCCATGCCTCAACTGCCCGAACTCCCCACACATCAACAACGGGCAAAGTCGCAAACGCTCTGAGCCCCACCACTTTAAACATAAAACCCGAAATCCGGCACCCTCTAAGTGGACTCCAGAAAGCCGTTACCTTTTTGGGGCTAAGGACATCTCTAAATCTCAGACTGCGGTGAAGGGTGGGGTCCTAGACCTTCAAGCTGATATACCCCAACCCGACAGCGAAAACCCAAAGTTTAATTTAACCATAAAGAGGAACTCCGAAAACTAAAGCCCAGACTCCTGCCCAAATGGGCTTTTGAGACGCTTTTTGCAGATCGACAAGGGGCCCTTAAAAAAAGAAGCACAGAATCCTAAGCCCAGCCCTAAAGCATTGCCTGTTCCGCAGGGCGCTGCTTCTCCTTCGACAACTGCGCACGGGGCTATGCCGCCAGCTCAGTCAGGAGAGATTTACCCTTAAAATCCTCCTCAAAAGGCTCCTTAAAGGGCTCCTTAAAAGGGGTTCTATAGGAGATCTATAGGCCTATAGGGGTTTAGGGCTTCTAGACTTCCGACATTAGGGCCTTTACATGGGGCTCGACAGGGTAGAGCCTACCAGGGTGTGGGGTTTGGGCTTTTTGGCCGCGGGAAGATCCCTGTATCCTCCAACCTAGGACTCGAAAGAAAGGGTCTAAGGTTTAAAGGGAACTCCGGAAAGTTGGAAAATGGAAAAAATGGTAGGATCCCCTATAATTTACCTTAAAGGGTTTAGGATAATGATATTCCAACTTTCTGGCTTTTACCTTAAGGTTTAGGGTTTAGGATTTGTATCTGGGATTAGGTGAGTGTATATCTGGCCCCTCAGGAGAATCGGAGAGTGAATGAATCGGGCTGTTTAGTTGTATTACAGCATTACTTCGTTCGAGGTTGAGAGTTACCAGGACCTTCAGCACCATAAAGGCACCTACAAAACCTAGAGCATCAGTCCCGAAACACCACACATTTCCCCGAAAGACTACACGTTTTTGTATTTCACACATCCGAAGCCTCTCATGCCGTGAGCCGCAACATCACCGTTTTTCTCAACGCCTACTCCTAGATGCTAACCCAGGAAACGCCAAACAGCAACAAACTCTGAAACCTTTCATCCTAAATTGGATCCCGGGCCCTACAGTAGTAGCAGCAGGAGTAGCAGTAGTAGCAGTAGTAGCAGTAGTAGCAGTAGTAGCAGTAGCAGTAGCAGTAGGAGTAGGAGTAGCAGTAGCAGTAGTAGCAGTAGTAGCAGTAGTAGCAGTAGCAGTAGCAGTAGCAGTAGCAGTAGCAGTAGCAGTAGGACTAGTAGTAGTAGTAGTAGCAGTAGCAGTAGCAGTAGCAGTAGTAGTAGTAGTAGTAGTAGTAGTAGTAGTAGTAGTAGTAGTAGTAGTAGTAGCAGTGGTAATAGTTGTAGTCGTGGTGGTGGTGGTGCTGGTCTGGAGCCCAGAGGTCATCGGCGAGAGCTGCACGATGTGCACCTTGAAGCCCTATGCAGAGAAGGCCTGCCGTTCAGGGAAGTTTACATGATACCTGGGTCGGGGTGATGGGTCGTAGCATCCCCTTATAGCCCCCTTGTTTCGTTCATATACCTGTACACCGTACATCAAGGCTGCCTTCGGGTGTTAAGGTTTAGGGTTGAAGTTCATTGAGTTCTGGGTACTACTTTGGGCATTCTGGAGTAGGCTCGCCAACTGCAAAACGGTCACCCTGAGGTAAACGCAACGTACTGTGAAGATTTCTTGCCGTGGCCGTGCCGAACCATGGCTCCGATATGACGAGATCAGCACATCTTGTAGTCCTTATAAAAGAAAGGCATTATGTCATACCCCGAAGCGCCCGGATCAACAGCGCCATGGCCCACAACCCTAAACCGCCATGGTCGGCATACCGAAACTGGAAACCTGGATGGCATTGCCTAAAGCCGTCGTCGTTCCGCAGATCACCTAGATAACAAAGCTTCATGGTTCTGTGGACCAGCAAGGATGGGGTTGAACTTAGCTTCAGGCTTTGGCGGTTGCAGGGTTGGCGTTGCAGGATGGCATTCGTTGCTGATCCTTCTTTGTGTGTCTTGAAGGCCTGCGCTGTCAGAAGTGTCGGTTCGAGTGTGGCCATGTTTAGCACGACTCGACCTTGTAAGCCCCGGGCAAAAACTCCTGCAAACTCTGAAGCACCGCTCACTGATCCCCGAAAGCCCTCAACCCTCCTCTCCGAGACCTCCGCAAAGGTTGATGGCTCGATTGTCGTGAGTGACGACCCCTATGTTGGGACCTTGGCCCAGCGACTCCAATACCCCTCTATCAAGGAACATACTGTAATTTAAGGCGTATTCCTTATGTAAGGGATATTGGAGTCTCTGGGAGTGCTGATTGAATGTATACAGGCAGGCGCTGTTGTGATCCGTATCTTGATCTCATGGAGTCGTGTAGACCGAACCACAAGCCCCAAATCCTCATGCCAAAACCCTAAGCCCCAAGCCCAAAACCCTCCATCTTTTCCCTGTTATTCCCTCATGCGCCCAAACCCTAAACCCTAATTAAACCCGAAGCCCTAAACCGGCCCGGAAAACAGAGCACTAAGGTCGGGACCATGGTAGGCTGGAGCATGCAGAACAGCGGCCGCAACGCAGGTCGGGCGTCACGCGAAACTCTAAACGGGTGGGCCTTAAATATGTGGTCTAGGGTTCTTACCATAGTAGTGAGCCTTAGAATACATGGTTGAGTGTGCAGAGTTTTAATCAGAATGGTTTTGAACACTTAATGGCAGTACTTCCATACGGTGCTTATTAATCATACAGCTATCCTAGGACCCAAGGATCTTACCCTTAGTAGCAGAGTAAGTAGCCCTTAACCTTCGCAGAGTACTCCCTGAACCCCGAAACCCTAGACTCCATACAATCTTCAGGGCTAGCCTTCATGTTCCACAGGATCCCAAGAAAGGCGCCTCCATTGTTGCCTCGGCTCTGACGGTTCAGTGTCTTAGGCTTAAACCCTATAGAGTTCAGATGTTAAGGGTTTAGAGTTTAAGCCCTCAGCTGCGTGTTGGGATGGCGGGTGCCGTGCCTAAACCCTACCCTACAAACCAAACCCAAAGCCCCACATCCCCACGAACCCCACCCCACGGAATCCTAAGCCCTCATGATACACCCTAAACCCTAAACCCTAAACCCTAACCCCTAAACCCTAAACCCTAAACCCTAAACCCTAAACCCTAAACCCTAAACCCTAAACCCCTAAACCCTAAACCCTAAACCCTAAACCCTAAACAACAAACCCTAAACCCTAAGCCCTGAGGACCACTAAACCGGAAACCTTAGGTCCCTCTGAACCTGTACCATAGGGGGCCTTGCATCATGACCTATACTAAGGGTTTAGGGTTTAGGGTTTAGGGTTTAGGGTTTAGGGTTTAGGGTTTTGGGGGCTCCTTATTCTAATAGTAGTATGATATACACCAAAGCCATGGTTAACTTTTATCAAAGCCTCTTTTGTAGTCGTGTACTGCTTGTCTTTTGCCGAACCTTTGCCCCGAGGGTCCCCAAACCCTACATCCTAAACCCGACACCCCCATTCCAACTCCGAGCCGGGCAGGCGGAAAATAGGGTAGGGTTTAGGGCTTAGGGTTTAACTAGCCTAAATAATCCCCAAACCTTAATGAACCCTAAATCCCTCTGAACCTGTAGTCGTCTACCGGTTGTCTTTGGCAGGCATGGCTGCTCCTTGTGGTCCAGCCGAGCAGGAATTCCTGCACAGGGTTCCGGGCTTCAGGAAACAGTCTTGTTACTATTTTCATAGCAGTGTCACAATTCCTGCTGTTTCATATGATTTTTTTATTGATGTTATTCGCATAAAAGTATGAGTATTATAGGTATTCTTATTGCCACTATGTTCATATCGTTGGTATTGTTGTTATTGCGATTGTTCTTGTCTCAGGGCCAACCCCTTGCCTTTTGTGGCGTTTATTGTTAGTGTGCTTGGGATGGGGCGTGACTTGGACCTCTCCTGTGGACCCAGGTAGCGTCTGTCAGGGGTGTTAATTTGGGCTTAGGGCTCATGGTTTATGGCTGTTGGGTTGAGGAGTTGTCGACATCGTCGAGGACTTGTTTCCAGGAAAACGGTGCAGCTAAGCCTCAGGGAGCCCTATCTCCACATACCGGCTGCAACATGCCGTTGATTCAAGAGAAGTGATCAAACACCGCGGGATCTTTTACTACGGCGAGGACACCCCGGCATTTTACCACCGAAGTGTGCTGAGATTCGACACTGCACCATCAACAAGTCGCAGGAAGCTAGTTGAGTGGGCCAAGCGACAAGATGTCGATGTGGAGCCATATGCACGCAAACAAGGCGAGGGTTAACTGCTCTCAGATCTCATTCGAAGGCTTTGAAGTCAAAAGGAGGACATACGAAGAGTGTGACGCGTGGCTTCGTGTTGGACACCTTCGAAGATTCGCTGGCATGCAAATTATGGGCTCAGTGTGGAGTGTTTTGCCTTCGGCGCTTGGTGGTTCACTTTCCTAACACGTAGGGCTCATCTATTCAATTTAGGCGCTTGAACCCATTACTACTCTCGTCATTTCCAATCACCGCATCTTTGCATTCTTTCGTCAGGCTAGTTGTCTAGCTATCTGCCGATGCCCATCTGCTGGTGTAGACATCCTTCGGAACCCTCATGGGATTTAGGGTATAGGCCCTAAAACCCTAAACCCTAAACGTTAAGGCTCAGGCATTTAGGGATCTAGGGCAGGGTTTGCACTTCCGGGAGGACTTCTGCCAGGGTTCCTTGCGAACATAGGTAGGATAGGGTTCAAGGTGTAGGGTTTACAGTTTACAGTTTAGGGTGTAGGGGCCAAAGTGAAGGACCCAAGCCTTAAAGCTCTAAAGTCTCAACTCCTAAGGCTCTTAAACCCTGAACCCCCAATACTAAGCCCAACAACCTGCTGCAGGAGGTTGTTGCGGAGTCCGTTCGAGCTGCTAATTGCAGCCCGCTCGCCGCTCGAGCGCATCCAGCTTTCGCATTCAGAGCATGGTTAAGGGGCTTAGGGTCCAGGGTTTAGGGTTTAGGGTCCAGGGTTTAGGGTTTAGGATTTAGAGTTTAGGGTTTAGGGCACGGGGTTCAGGGTTAAGGGTTGAGGGTTTACGGTTAATCCAGAGCCTGCATGCGGATCTCTCCCGTAGGATGGTTGGGGGCTCTACAGAGCAGGGATCTGCACTGAAACCTTGTAGGGATTTCGCACGATTTCTCATGAGGTTCAAAAGGGTTTATCGGAGCTGTAGGGCTTTGTCTTCGCCCTTTGCAGAACTTGGCACGCTGAATTTCTCAAGCCCCAGATGTTTCAAACCCGCCTGGAAAGCAACAGCATACCATCCTGGTTCGGATGTTCTGCTGGGGCTGTAGAGGTTTCGTATGGGAGTTTCCGAAAATAGGGGACCCTACTATAGTACCCAAAATTTCAGGGTCCTTACTAATTATAAGGACCACCGAATAAGGTAGCCCGATTTTCGGAAACTTACCGTTGTACTGAAAGCCTGGACCCCGGGCCACGGACAGCCCAAACGTCTTAACCCCTAAATCCTCAACCTGGGAAGCTACTCATAAGCAGTGCTCGTGCTGGTGATACTATTTCGGTATATGTAGTGTTGTAGTGACAGATCTCCTCCAGATCTCTGAAATCTTTGGTTTCAAGACTCCAAGCCTCCAAGCCATCTCCAACCCCCTAGACCCTAATTCCAAAAACTCCCAAACCCGACTATAGGGGCCTTAATCAATGACCTGTTCCTTATTACAATTTTAGTATGATGGGCCCCGATTATTAATGCCCCTACATTAAGCCCGAAACCCCCCAAATCCCCGAAGACTGATTAGAAGGGCAGAAGGAAAAAGACTGGTTAGAAGGGCAGAAGGAAAAAGAGGGTTCAAAAAAAAAAACAAAATCCCCGAAGACCGAGCCTGAGCTGCCCCAGGATATCGATGGCCTCGAGTGTCACGCCGAGGGCGGAGTTTTAGTCGACAGCGTCCGGAGCCCCGGGGGTTTAGGGTCTACCTAGGGGTACTTAGAGAAATATTTTTTAATTTTTGGTTATTATAATCCCTAAGAAACAGCCAAAATTCCAATTTTTGCTAGGGTTCTAAGTTCAGTATAGTATAGGGTTTAGGGTACATGTGCTATAAGGGTGTTTGAGGTTTGGTTGGGGTTTGAAACGTTTGGCCTTCCAGGAATACAATCTTGTTGATGAAGTTCACCATACGAGGCATACACGGTCGACAGGTATTTAATATGGTGCCATAATTATGGCAAGTCGATGTCCTTAATAACAAGGACCCACAAGGGTTGCGGCCTCATTGGTTGGGTGTTTCGGGTTGTCCTTTCCTACTTCACTCTTTCCTTGGGGGCAGTTTCTGATGGGCGGAGCTGGGGTTGTAGGGTTCACTCGGACGTGCGTCTGACAAGCAGCGAAGCGTAGGGCTATGCCCACGAGTGAGATTGGGCTTCTACTTCGGCAGCAGAACTCGGTCGTTCAATGCTGTCAAGGAGCTGTTGTAAGCAGGAGGAGTTTCTGACTGAGCTCGCTGCTCAGAGCTTCCTTGCAGGAGCAGCGCCGTGAACGACTTTGGGTTCGGGCCGAAAAATCATATGCATTGCTGAGAAATGGCATTCAACATCTCAACCCCTCGTAGGAGCATGAGGCATGAAACAGGGGTTGACATTTTGGAACGAAGCTGTTCCAAGAATGTGTTTCACACTTCGGAAACCTTGTGATTCAAAGCTTTGATTCCTCAGCAGTAAACCCTGCACCCTTAGCCCTGAATCCTGAACCCTTCACCCCAAACCCTGAACCTTAGATCCTAAACCCTAAGCTGCCGTGTTTCTGCATTGAGCTCCCAGCGCGAAGATCCTCACCGTTGAATTCTGAACCCCCGAGCCCTTCCCTCTCCGGGTCCACATTATACATTAACTTAGGGGTACTTAGAAATATGTAACTGTTAATCTTTGGTTCCGATGATCCCTAAGAAGCAGCTATATTCAGAATTTTTGCTAGTGGTCAAAGTTCAGTATAGTACATCGCACATACTAATTCGCCATGCCATCGTAGGAATAGTCTGTATCCACTACAATAACCCATGCACTAACTCTTAGACAACCGTTATAAAGCCCTACAAACCTTCTATGAACACCCTATAAAATCTTATCACTAAACCTAGACCATAACCCCTCAACCCTACAGCCCTAAACCTGAAACCCTAAACCCCTAAACCCTAAACTCTAAATCCTAAACCCCTAAACCCTAAGCATAACCCCTCAACCCTAAAGTAGTTATAGTGGGTTCTTGTTGAGGAACTTAATCCAAACTAACATAATAAGCAACCCATATTATGTTCTAGAGATCCCACTTACTAAATTCCTTAACAACAACCACGTATAACACTCGTATCCCTCGACCCTAAACCCTAAACCCCTAAAGCCTAAACCGCCGACCCCTAAACCCTAAACGCGACCCCTCAACCCAAAACCCTAAACCTTAAAGCCTTACTTACTATTTGTTATAACATTCGAAACCTTAAACCCTACACTCTAAACCTTGAGCCCTGATTATACCACATAATAGGAATCCGTCTTATTCGTTATAGATCCCTATGATGGCAACTGAAATTGAAATCCTCAGCAACAATCAGTTATACCCCTCGTATCCCTAAACCCTAAACCCCAGGGCCAAAAACCAACAAAAATGGAGCATGAGATCAACCTTTAAGTTTCGAGAAGTTGACCCGGCTGTAGGCCGAGGTGACACCAAGTTCTACGACAACGTAGCTTTGGAGTATCTGAGAAAGGACGAAGCGCTGGATCAAAGAGCTGTCGGGTTCCTTTGCGAGCTTTACACTCGATGCAGCTTTGATGTTGAGTTGAGAGACTTGCCTATGTTATCTGGTGTCGCGCAACGACAAGAAGCGCGATTCACGCCGACTTTGGCAATGGACGACATTCGAAGCATGATTGGCCGAACTCGTGAACTCTTCTCCTGGACTTTGACATTATTACGCCAATGCAAGCAAGTTCTCTAAGCGAGCGACCCCTCGTGTCTACAAGGGAGTTTCCGAAAATTAGGGGTACTGTATTTTGGATCCTTATAGTAGGGATCCTACCATTTAGGGGACTATCTTAGGGTCCCCTATTTTCGGAAACTCCCAACCCTAAACCGCCTAAACCCTTTATAGAGCCCTTATAGATCCCTTCAAGGAACCCTTCTAGATCCCTTAAAGGAACTCTTAGGGTACCATCCTAGGGTCCCCCATTGACGGAAACTCCCAAGGTCGAGCTGGCGGCCGCAGCGCGGGTGCTCCGCGGCTGCGCCGGAGGGGACAAGGACGCTCTTCTCGAGCGCTTTGCAGCTTCAGGTTTGGGTTATGTTTAGGGTTTTAGCGGTTAGGGTTTAGGGCTTGGGGTTTAGGCTTGAGGGATTATGTTTAGGGTTTGAGGGGTTTAGGGTTTAGGGTTTGGGGTTTTTGGGTTCAGGTTTGGGGTTTCGGCAAGGGATCTAGAAGGGATCTATTCGGGATTTTATTGAGGGTTTAGGGTTTGGTCGAGGCCGCAGGGGTTGGATGGCTGTTTTTCGGTCAAGGTCTACATTGCACTACCCTTATGTCGGTCTGTGGGACGTCGAGCCAAGGTATAGTTACCACATCCCCCCGTCCGGGCCCTGGGGTTGGATCAGGATGTTCCACCCCTACGCCTAAATTGAAACCCTTCAATGGCCCCAAAGTAGTTCCTTTTTGGGAGCACCCTATAGGATTTTAACTAATTTGGGGCCTTTGGGTAGACTCTGAGAAACAGCTCACTCCAAACCCTCCAAAGCGAGACCGAAGAAGCTCATGGTGTGTATTTCCGCCCCTTCGTTCGGTTCAGGCCGGGAGCCCTCAACCAGAGACTCCAATATCCCTTAATTAAGGAATATGCCTGTTTAGGGTTCCTTAAAGGGAGCTATAGGGGTGAGGGTTTAGGGGATTCTAATATCTCTTAATTAAGGAATATATCCTAAATTATAATGGAATCCTTAATATGATTTAAGGTGTATTCCTTAATTTAAGGGATATTGGAGTCTCTGGGTAAACCTTAAGGCCGTAGCAATGCCAAGCCGTGGCCCCAAATCCTAAATCAAGTTTGGACGGCCTCGCCGGAAGGAAGTCCTCATCACTGCATCCGCCAAGTCAAACACTGGTGTGCAGCGCGAGGCTTCGACGATGGCACCGTTTTTGAAGGCGGGTTCGGGGTTATAGTTTCGGCTTTGGGGAACAGGCCTTGTGGCTGGGCAGGGAAGATCATGATGTACGGCTATGGTGTTGCCAAAGTCCTGGTGCCTGAGGTGCTCTTGAACATCGCCTATGCCAACAACGCGCCTTCAATCCACCTCAAGCAGCTGAATCCGTACCTTGAGGCTGGCATTCGTTTCGGGGCTTAGTACTTACCTTTGGTTAGTAGGGAATGGAGGAATGGTAGTAATAGTAGTTGAAGTTGTACCCCACTCCTCCATTCCCTACTAACCAAAGATAAGTTTCGGGGCTTAGTAGGTTGCGGGAGGGGATCCCTTCTAATACTGTAGCCTTTCCAATAGCTCTTTTTTTAGACACGTATAGTTCCCGAAATTCTCCTTTAGCATCCTGGGCTGAGCCTTTCATGAGGGAGGTTGGGCTTGCGGATTGGGGTTTGGAGTTCCACCGTGTAGCGTTGAGGTGCCAACTCATATGTAGGGTGTAGGGCCCTCGGGGCCGACCTAACAGAACAAGATGTCAAACGCAGGTTTCCTCAACCCTAAGCCCTAAAACCTAACCCCTAAACCCTAAACCCCTAAACCCTCAACTCAAACCCCTAAATCCTCAACGAAGAGGTCCGCCAAGCACAGGAAGTCCCAGCAGCAGTGAGGGCCCAACGAAAGCCCCGAAGTTCGAATCCTAAACCCTGCGTCAGCCCAAAGTAAACGAAGGTTCCCCCCTTAAAGAATACTAGACTATGTTACTATAGGATTCTATTGAGTATGGTCCCCCTGAAGGGTTACCTCTTTAGGGTTTGGGGTCTGGTTTAGGGTTTCACCTACACCCTAAATCATCTTCTGGGGTTCCATATTGTCATTTTCTTGTATATGTCCGGATAAAGGTAGGTGGTTTGGGGCTATATAAGGTAGGCCGTAAACCCTGAACCCTGAATCCATGTTGGACAAGACTTGGTTAATATCATAGCATATATATATATATATATATATATATATGGGTGGTTGTCCAAATTATGGTCCCTTTTTGGTTCCCTACATATTAGGTGCCGTATTACAATAAGGACCCAAAAAGGGACCATAATTTTGAGAACCACCCACATGTATGATGCTGTTCAGTAGGACTGGGTTCTGGTTGAGGAGGTTTCATTACCATAGCTGGGATCTGTAGCTGCTCGTGATGTTATCAACTTAAGCTATGTTCCGTAAAAAGAGCCCAGAAACCTCGGAACCTTGAACCCTATGGAGCTGTAGGCCCTAAACCCTCAATCTTAAGCCCCAAACCCAATGCCCCAGATCCCAAAAATGTAGCTCAGAGCCCACGGAGCCCTGGCAAACTGCGCAGTTGGGAACTGCAGCCGTGCGCATCAACACGGAATCCATGGCCTACCGCAGCTCCGGCTTTAGAGCGTTAGAGATGGGAGTTTCCGAAAATGGGGGACCCTAATCTAGTACCCTAAATAGTAGGATCCCTACTATAACGACTCCAAAGTACCCTTAATTTTCGGAAACTCCCAGATTCTTCGGGTTTGCTGGGTTTGGGATGCAGGCTTCAGGGTGCATAGTTGTAGGTGGAGGGTTCGGCCGGAGTGGGTTTAGTGTCTGCTTTGGCAGTGTTCTGCTGATTAGGGTTTCGAGGTATCTTGCATCACATTTTGGCCTCAGCAATTAGTGTTGCTCGTTGCAGCAAAATATGCTCGCACAGCCCCGTGCTGATGGATTTACAGATTCGAAGACCATTTTGGAGATTCCGAAAATAGGGGACCCTAATATAGTACCCTAAATAGTAGGATCCTTATTATAAGGATCCCAAAATAAGGTACCCCAATATTCGGAAACCCCCGTTTAGCCCGTGCCCCAAACCCCAAACCCTGAAAGCCACACGCCTAAACTCTAACCATGAGCCCGAAACCCTGGCCATTCCCAACAGAAACCCAGGCAAGAACTGTCTGCACAAATTGGGCTTATTGGGTGCAGGGTTAGGGTAGGATCTGTTGGTAAGATTTCGGGTTTTGAGCCTGACATTTCAGACTCAGGCTCCAGGGAGGCCAATCACCCACAATCTCTTTTGTTGTCCAACTAATAGCCGCAAGTTGGAATTGCTGTCTGCTGTCTCTTCAGCAGGCGTTAATATCAGGATCCCGTTTGGAATCTTTACCCTAGGCCCCGGGCCCCCATTCCCTACAGCGTACTTCTCTCCAAGCCTTCCGCCTCGACCCAAAACGAACCAGTTCACACTCCAATTCAGGGGATCGTACCTCCTCGTAGTGAACAGAAGAGCCAACTCTGATACTTCAGGCCCCATGCAGCCCCACTCTGACCACTTGAGCTCGAAATCGTACACCCTTCTCAAAGCCGTATTGAAGCGTTTGGGAAGCTGGCAATGGCATCTCCTTATGGTTCCTACATGACTGTTCCATAATCTGACCCACAACCTGTTTCTAGATACCAAGTTACTAAGGCGTCTATATGACATAATGCGGTAAACTCCAAACCCCGTAGCCCAAGCCCTAAACCCCGAACCCCGAGACCCAAACCACAAACCCGAAACCTTATAGAATCCCTATAGATCCCTTTAAAGGGACCCTTAATTTTGAAGGAACCCTTATAAACCCAACCTGCCGAGGAGACAGTCGGGTTTTCCACGGGGTCGGTGCGAGGGGCTGGGGCGGCATGCTCATCAACATCGTCTGCTGGGGAGCCCTTTGGCAGGGTTTAGAGAATGAGCGGTGCGCCCTACCCGGACCCTAAACATCTAATGCTGTGAGTATCATGTTTGGTATGACCGGGAATCCTGGCTACAACTACCGCTTCTATTTAGGTTCTTAACATTACATACTACGGTGGATGGACAAAATCCTGCACGACCCCCCCAACACGACAAGCATGTCATTGTCGGCAGTCGAGCTCCCCGCGCCCCTCTAATTTCATCGTTGCACGAATGGGTTCGTGATTTCGGTCATTCACACAAATGCCCCTTCTAAGTGTTGCAAGGAGGCCAATTTTAAGATTCAGATTCAGGGTTTGAAAGGGATGACTGACATAAGAAAAGATATGCAGGATTTCGTCCATCAACAATACCCAAAGTTGTCGAGTGCAGTGGCATCTCTGGACGTTGCCCAAATTAAGTTGTCGGGTGCACTGGAATCTCGGGAATGTCCTTCCGGCCTCTACTTGCTTGCCGCGGCCAAGTTTCAATTTCGGGTATTCCCAGCGCAAGGATGGCAGGTTGTCCAGGGACGTCAGGCTCCAGACAGCAGAAAATCCGAATACGTGGCATTTTCCAAGTTTCCAACTCCTTTTTTGCAGTTTCCTACTATTTTTCATACAAGTTTCAAACTAGTTTCAAACTCCAGTTTCAATCTCGCTCTGAAGGGGGAACTTCCTTTTCCAGGGCACGGCAATCGGACATTTGGAACCTCTAGGTATTGGCTTTGTAATTTCGCGCCCGAGAAATTGCAGTTCGGCCTTAACAGCGAGTGTGAAACCAGCAACACCTGGTGCCAAGTCCGCAAATATTCACACGTCAGAAATTTGTCTGCTGAGATCGTGGATGGACAAAATCCTGCATGACCCCCCAACACGACAAGCACGTCATTGTCAGCAGTCGAGCTCCCCGCGTTTTTTAATTTCAATGTTGTGCGAATGGGTTAGTGATGCAGGATTTCGGTCACTCGTGCACAATTCCGCTGGTTCCTTAATTGGAGCTAGAGATATATAGGACTGTGCTTGCTACGTACCGTGATCCTATAATGCCAAACAAAAGAAACACCGAAAGAGGTCTAAGCTTAAGATCTTCGAAAACCCTACAAAATCACGAACTGAAACACCTGATCCTCTAGACCCTAAGCCCTAAAACCTAAGCCCTGAACCTAAATCCTAAACCCTAAGCCCTGAACCCTAGGCCCTAAACCATAAAGCCTTGTGGAGAAGTGGCAAGACAAGCCCTTGAAAGATCCTTTAAAGGAACCCCGAGTGTCCACCGAAGCCCTGAACTAAACCCTAAACCCTAAGCTCTAAACCCCGAGCCCTAAATCCTACGCCCAAAAGGCCCTCAAAAAAAATCCTACGCCCACCCGAGCCCTAACCTTAGCCCGAAGCCCTAAGCCCAAAACCCCAAAACCCCCAAACCCTAAACCCTAAACCCCAAAACCCCCACCCCTGAACCCTAAACCCTAAACCCTGGTCCCAGACGCGAACCCCGAGTCCCTGCGAGTGAGGCCGCCGACTCGACCGTGGTGCCGCTGTCGAAGCCGAAGATGTACGGGTCCGGGGGAGGGGGTGGGAGGTGCTTGGAGGGTCTTTAGGGGACTTAGTAAGTAGGTAAGTAGACTAATAGTATCCTAAAACGGACCCTAATTGGGGGTGGGAGGTTTCTTGTTGATTCGGGTTAGGGTTCCGGTTGTAGGGGTTTGGGGGTTATTTATGGGTTTAGGGTTTAGGGTTCGGCCCATCAAGTGTTTTAGGGTCGGGGAGGGGGTGGGGGTTTATAGCTGGTTCAGGTTGTAGGGGTTTGGGGTTTAGGGGTTTAGGATTTGGGAGTTTCCGAAAATTGGGGACCCTAATATAGTACCTTAAGTAGTAGGATCCTTATTATAAGGACCCCCCAAATAAGGTACCCTAGTTCTCGGAAACTCCCACTTAGGGTTCGACCCGTCAAGTGTTCTTATCGCTATAGGCTTCCTGTAACCGCCTTACAAGGTGTGCAGGCTTTGCATAAGGATTTGGGGTGATGGCTTTGTGGTTCCTGAAGTTCACTCTTGGGGTTTAGAGAAGGGGCGACCTCATAGCGGAACAGCCCACATCTCATAGACATAAGCCCTAAACCCCTCAAAAAATCGAAACGCCTGACCCACTAAACCCTGAACCCTTAGACCGCACTAAACCCTGAACCCTAAACCCCTAAACCCTAAACCCCTAAACCCTAAACCCTATACCCTAAATCCTAAACCCTAAACCCTAAGCGGCCCTAAACCACAACCCTCCCCATCTCCATGCGCTCAACCCCCCAGTCCCTGACTCCCAAACCTTCTTACTATTTGCTTAAGAACCCCCAAAAAATAAAAAATGTATTCCTTATGGGGGTAATATAGGGATTATTATTTTTATTTTTTGGGGGGTTTCTTAAGCAAATAGTAGCTTCTTAAATGGCAAGATAGGGTTTAGGGTTTGGGTTCAGGGCCTTAGGGTTTTAGGTTTGGGGTTTTAGGTTTGGGGTTTTAGGTTTGGGGTTTTAGGTTTAGAGTTTCGGGTTTAGGGTTCAAGCTTTGGGATTTGGGGTTTCGGGTTTAGGGTTGAAGGTTGAGGGCTTTCCAGCATAGCAACTTCAAAAGGTTGGACAAACCCTACACTTGCACCGCAAACTCTGAACCTTTAACCCCAAACCCCAAACCGTAGCAGGCCTCAAGGTTTCAAGCCCTATACCCTAAACCCCCAAACCCCGAAGCCCCTAAACCCTAAACCTCTAAACCCTGAAGCCCTCAACCCCTGTCCAGGCAGTCTTTCGCTTTCTGGCCATCGCTCGAGGACTCGAAGGAGCCCGAGCACAGCTTCCCGGCTTCTTTCCCGGGCTGCCGCAAGACTCAGGGATTTAGGGATTTAGGGGTTTAGGGTTTAGGGTTTAGGGGTTTAGGGATTTAGGGATTTAGGGATTTAGGGGTTTAGGGTTTAGGGATTTAGGGTTTAGGGATTTAGGGTTTAGGGTTGGTACTCCCGGGTGCTTAGTAGGGAATGGGGGAATGGATCCCTATGGTAGTTCCAGCAAAATCCCCAATACCAGACAGAAGGGTTAGGGGGTGTTAGGAGTTCAAAGAAATTGGGTTTTAGTACTGCTCTGCAGCGTCCATATGCTTGCTTTGTGGGTCCGAAAAGGGTTCCTTTAGGGGGTTTAGGGTCTAGGGTTCACGGTTTGTTAGGATTCTGGGATTGTTTTTGTTCGCATTGCCAGAAGGGCGCCAAGTGGACATTCTGACCGGCTTTCCCTGTGTGGACGTTTACGGGTTTGAAGACACTGTTATTCGGGTTTCACAAGAGTCCATGTACCCATTATATTTTGGCCACAAAAGCAGACGCTCTATCGGTACTCTAGGGCTGAAGTATATACTATACGGCTACATGGATCCATGGTGTTTCATGTTGTTAAGGCCTCTTCATTGCGTCAATGGCTTCAACCGTCTGCACTAAACCCCCAGTCTGCGTCGGAACAGGGAGTCACAAGCTGCTGATGGCGTTGGGTGGAAGGCTCTGGGGTTTGCGGTTTCTGCTGCTGTTGAGTTTCGGGTTTGTGGGCGAAGAGTTTGGGCTCCGAGTTTTTGATTCTAGAGGCTTTATTTTACACAGGGTTTAGGGTTTAGGGTTTAGGGTTCTCACGAGCCTCTGGACCCCTCCAAGGCTACCACGTGGTGGGCTCCTGGTCGAACTGGGCCACGCCCCAGGCCATGACCAAGTCCCTGGATGGCGCGCACACGCTGAACGTGACGCTCCATGGCCGGGTTTAGGGTTGAGGGGTTTAGGGTTTAGGGTTTAGGGTTTGGGGGCTAGGCTTAACTTTTTTGCAGGTAAGGGACGTCGTTTTCGTGATTGATGCATGCAGGGGTTTGAACCCTGCACATAACGTTCAGGGTCCCAAGCCCTAAATCCCTAAAGCCACGTGCAAACCGCTGCAAACCGAGGTACACAGCCCTTCTACTAGTTGGAATCTTAAGCCCCGAAAGCCGCTCAGTTCGAAGCATCGAAGCCCGAAGTTGTAGATGAGATTTCTTTTGGCATACTGGCAGTAGCAATGGTAGTGCCTGGGTGGTGACGTCACTCAGAGACTGTGGTGGCAGTAGTTGGCAGTAGTGGCGGCAGTAGAAGCAGCAGCAGTAGTAGTAGAGTAGTAGTAGTAGTAGTAGCAGCAGCAGGAGTAGTAGTAGTAGTAGTAGTAGTAGTAGTAGTAGTAGTAGTAGTAGTAGTAGTAGTAGTAGTAGTAGTAGTAGTAGTAGTAGTAGTAGTATATAATAGTAGTATATAGTAGTAGTATATAGTAGTAGTATATAGTAGTAGTATATAGTAGTAGTAGTAGTAGTAGTAGTAGTAGTAGTAGTAGTAGTAGTAGTAGTAGTAGTAGTAGTAGTAGTAGTAGTAGTAGTAGTAGTAATCGTCGTAGTAGTAGTGGTGGTAGTAGTAGTAGTAGCAGTAATAGCAGCCATAGTAGTAATGGTACCAGTAGTAACAATAGTAGCAGTAGTGGCAGCTGCAGGCGGAGTAGAAATTACTCGTAGTGGTAGTTTTCATTATTATTGTTACTATTGCTACGATTATTGCTGTTATTATGTTAATTTTACTATTATTACAATTTTGTGGTTTTATTGGTACCACGATTACTATTGTTCTTCCTCCTCTTATTGCCATTACGATTAGAACTAGTTCTAGTAGTATCATTCTTACCAATATTCCTGTTTATGTTCTTCTTCTGGTTGTTATTATGATTGTTCTTATGATTTTAAAAACCTAGTAGTAGAGTAGGTAACCTTTAACCTTTTTTGGGTGGTATAGTCCCTATATAACCCCAATATAACCAAAGGTTAGCCTTCAATTCCCCATGACACCCGACAAGAAGGCTTATATGCCGCTACATCATATTCTTGCTCATGTTCTTCTTCTGGTTGCTATTATGATTGTTCTTATCATTTAGAAGAAAGCCATGGTAGCCTTGTTGGCATCGTTTCCGTGGCAAAGACGCTTTCATCGGCCGAGGCTCGGAGAGAAAGGGCTCGAGTCCTTCCAGATTTGGGTCGACGGAGACAGCAGCAAGGCATGGGGGTTTCGGGGGTTTGGGGGGTTTGGGTTTAGGGGTTCCGTTAAAGGGATCCACAAGGGGTCTTTAAGGGATCCACTATAGGGCTTCGGGTTCAGGGGTTAGGGTTTGGGGTGTTTGGGGTTTAGGGATTCGGATTTAGGGTTAAGGGTTTAGGGTTTAGGGTTTTGGGGGTTTGGGGGTTCGGGTTTGGGGTTTTGGGTGTAGGGATTAGGGTTTGGGGATCGGAGACAGCAGCAAGGCATGGGGGGGTTCCGGGGTTTGGGGGTTCGGGGTTGGGGCTCCTGATCGGGATCTACAGGGCTTCCAATAAGGGCTCTATAAGGGATCTATAGGGTTTTGGGTTCAGGGGTTTGGGTTTGGGGTTTTGGGTTTAGGGATTAGGGTTTGGGGTTTAGGGTTTAGGGCTCAGGGTTTTAGGGTTTCAGAGTTCAGGGTTCAGGGTTTAGAGTTCAGGAGTTTAGGGCTTAGGGTCAACAAGGCCCTTGCCGGTAAGGGTTCTATAGGTCCCCCAAAACAAAAGCAAAACAGGGGCCCAGCAGACCCAACCCACAACTACACAGAAACCCCCAACAACTAAAGCTCCAACACCACAACACCACAAACCTTGAACCCAAACATTGATCTATAGTCTCCCCTAGAAACTATTGTTGTATTTTTGTTCATATAAACACCAAGAGAATATTGAAGCACATTAGTTTTATTATGGTTCTAAGGGGGGTATCGTGATGTCGTTGGTCACAGGTTCTCCACCCTTCGCGCCCTCAAGCACCCCCTGGAAGTCGAGTGCATCTTGGCCCAGAAATGTCGGGGTTGAGGGTCTTAGGGGTTTCTCTGAGGCTTATAGGGTTTAGGGTTAAGAGCCTATGTGAGAACTTTGAGCTTTTTGGCCTTGTATGTCAGGTACGGCCCCCACACAGGAAGAGTCTACAATGGGGCTGCTGGTAAGGTCCTACTATATATCTATATTATGAATATTGTTCAACTATTACTGAACCCAGCTTATATGTTTGGTCTATCTCAGAAAGTTTTACCCTTATGTGGGCCTGGCTACGGAAGAGGAGACCAGGTTGTAGGCTCCTTTAAGGTGTTCTTTGGACACGGGCGCTATAAGGGTTCTTTCCAAGGGTGAGGGTTTGGGGTTTGGGGGTTCATGGTTTATGGTTTACGGTTCAGGCTGTCTTGAGGTTGAAGGTTTTTTTTTGAGGGTTCTTGAGGGGCTTTGCGTTTAGCGCCTAAGCTTTAGCGTTGGAGTTGTCTGCAGCAGGTCTTCCCGAATTTTCCCGTGATCTTGGAGCTTGCCGGGAGCTAGTTCGTGAGAGTCGTTGTCAAAGAGTCGTTCCTCGCGCTTCTCGCGGGCTGTTTGGCATGGAGCCATCATGTGAGACCTATTCTAGCCGGTAAGCCCTATAGGTACTGGACCATCCCATGGTTGCAACTCGTGAGCCTTCAAGTGCCGGCATATGGGCTAATGTAGGAACCTGATTAAGCAACCCTGGGCCTACAACCCCAAAATAGTAGGGTTCATATCAGGAACCCTAATCAAGGCCCAAGGTTTCTTAATCAGGTTCCTACATTGCGTTGAATTTCGTTGAAGGATGTTGTCTGGTGGAGGTCTAGGGGGCGAGCTCAACCCTGGCTCCCGGGCTGAACACGCTAGAGGGTTTAGGGTTTAGGGTTTAGGGTTTAGGGTTTAGGGTTGGGTTTAGGGCCTAGGGTTTGGGCTGTACGGTACAAATGAAAGTTTCAGGACATAAAAACCCCGAATAGTATAAAGCCAAAGTAATTGCATCCTTGATTTAAGGGCACCCTAGCTTCAAGCAGGCCTTCACAACACCGGTATATAATCTTGATCAGCCTCACAAAGAGCCTGTTTCGAAACCCTACAAACCTGACAAAACCCTAAACCCTAAGCCCTAGACCTTCAATGTTCCCGCTGATAAAATGCACCAAACCCTAAACCTCGCAGCCGACGCCCTACATCCTAAACCCTACCTTAACCCCACGTAACCTACCTTTTTAAGGACTTATATAAAGAAATCATATTAAGGAACCCTAAAAAGGTAGGTTCCTTAGGGTCCAGGTAGACCACGAGCCTAAGCCCTGAACCCTGAACCCTTGCCTTTCAATCATCCCGGGCCTCTACAGGTGTCCTTCAAACTGTCTCCACCTAACAGGTATTCCGACTGTAGCAGGGGGGAAAAGGCCCTCAAAAAAAAACCAGAACCCTGAACCCTAGCTCTCAAGGTTCGGCTAAAAATGGGAAGCCTCAACCCTAAACCCTAAAACCCTAAACCCTGACCCCTAAACCCTAAAACCCTAAACCCTAAACCCCTAAACCCCTGAACCCCTGAACCCTAAAACCCTAAACCCTAAGCCCCTGAATCCTAAAACCCTAAACCCTAAGCCCTAAAACCCCTAAACCCCTAAACCCCTGAACCCTAAACCCCGAAGCCCCGAAACCACCGAACCCTAAACCCCGAAAACCCTAAACCCTCAACCCTCAACGCTAAACCCTAAAATCCCTAAACCCCTAAACCCCCAAAACCCCCTCCGATCTCGGAGGTTGGGCCCTGATCCCTTGGCCTTGATCCAGCAGCGGGGGCCTCGTCTCACTCTTTCGGCGATTCGGGCCCTTTATAAGGGCTCTAGGGCTTCCTGCCACCGTCTTTTTCATAAGGGTTCCTTTACATAAAGGGATCTTTGGGGTTCCTTTAAAGGGATCTATATGGGTTTAGGATTCCTTTACAGAGCTTCTTGCCTTTGGTTAGTGGGGAGTGGAGGAATGGGGTACAAGTATAACTACTACTACTACTACTACTACTACTACTACTACTACTACTACTACTACTACTACTACTACTAGTACTACTAGTACTACTACTACTACTACTACTACTACTACTACTACTACTACTACTACTACTACTACTACTACTACTACTACTACTACTCCACTACTACTACTACTACTACTACTACTACTACTACTACTACTACTACTACTACTACTACTACTACTACTACTACTACTACTACTACTACTACTACTACTACTACTACTACTACTAGTACTAGTACCATTCTTCCATTCCCTACTAACCAAAGGCAAGTCTAGGCTCTAGGACGTCCTTTTCAGGGTTCTATAAGGGTTATATATATACACACACACACACAGAGTGTACATGGTTTGGGGTTGAGTGCTTCCGCGATTTTGCCTGGAGGGCTAGGGGTTTAGTGTTTTGGGGTTGTATTGTTTGTGGTGCCTTTTATAGTTTTCAGTATTTCCTTTCGCTCTTTCCTGGTGGGCTTGTTTTTTTGGCAGATTGATGGTTAGTTTGCATGTTTCTTTAATGGATTGTAGGGTTCCTTGCAGTTTTTTTCCATAAATTGTGGTTTGCGCGCTGGGTTTCCAAGGATTTTGGGGATTGAGGTTTGGGATTTTTCGATTTCGGGCTCTGGGTTTAGGGGTAAGACTAGATGTTGGGGGGGAATCATCAGAATCCTCGTGCGGATGCGAGGGTTTCGGTGTTGTTGACGGCAATGATGTTGATGAGGCTGATTGCTGTGAAGGTGATGGTGGTTCTTGGGTTTTTAGGGCCCCAGCTAGGTCCCTAGGAAAACCCTTCCTTAGGGCGATACCCTAAGCCTAAATCAAACTTTCCGTGGCGAGGTATCACCTCAACTGGGTCATCGATGGCCGCTGCTTGGATGCAACCTAAACCCCAAACCCTGAAGCCTAAACCCTAAACCTAAAACCTTAAATCCTAGACCCTGAAGCCTAAACCCTAAACCCTTAACCTGACACCTTGAACCCCAAACCCTGAAGCCTAAACCCTAGGAGTCGGGGCTGCTGCGGGAGCTCAGCCTTCCTGCACCTCTTCTCTATGTGGGCATCTCGCAGTTCCCCATAACCCTGAACCCTAAACTCCTAAATTAAAGCCCCAACACCCAAAATACTAAAGCCTTATAAGGCGTTATAATCTGAGACCCCTAAGGTCTTAAAGACCTAAACCCTCAAGGCCCCAGAGCCTTAAAGCCCTAGCCTAAACCCAAAAAGCCTGAGGCGGGACCTCCCCGGCCCCGGGCAGCTCGACGCCGGCACTGCCCGACCAGGTGGTTCGAGCGAGGCGCCCGTGAGCTTTTTGTCCGGGTTTAAGGGTTTAGTGTCCAGGTCTAAAGCCTACTAGACCCTAAACCCTGCAAGCCTAAACCCCCCAAACCACAAGGCTCTAAAACCCCCAAGTTCTGGAGTTTTCAGGCTTGGGGTTTTAGGGTTTTAAGCCTATGGGGTTGAAGGCTTTAGGGTTTAGGGGGTTTTCGAGGAGAAAACCTAGGGCTTGTAGGGTTTAGGCTTTAGGGTTTTAGAGTTTGGTTTTGTTTTGGGGGTGGTTTTAGGGTTCTAGGGAGAGGGCTAGGGTTTTAAGGTTTTGGGGTTCAGGGTTTTCAAGGTTTGGGATCTTAGGGTTAGGGGTTGTACAGTGCTGGGGCTCTCGCAGTGGTTTTAGGGTACGCGGCGCTCCGAACTTCCGGGGCCTGCCATGCTCCAAGCCCCAAACCCTCAACCCACCAACCCATCACGAACAGCACACTAGGCACTGGACCATTAAGTGTAGGGCGCCTAGAATTGGTGCAGGATTTGGGCTGTAGGTTAGCATAAGGTTCAAGGCTCAGGACATAATTTTCGTAAGGGGTAGTAAGGGCTTTGGATTCAGTATCTCGGATTTAGATGCCTTTGGCCCCTGGGTGGGTTGTTCGGAATCTGGGCGGTTTGCCGGAGTTTGGGTATTTCCGGGTCGAGGGATGAGGGTTAAGAGACTTAGGGTTCCGGGATCTCGGTTTTAGGGTTTTTAGGTGGACAGCCTTACTGAGGAGACCGACACTCCAAACCGTCCTTTAGAGAAGAGCTGAGGGTCTTCGGGCTCAGAATGATTTGCAAGATATTACTTCACCTGAAGGTAGGGGCCTTAATAAATAGAACAAGGTTTAGGGGTATCTTTATACTAGAATTGTAATGAGGAACCACCGAAACCGGGTTTGGTAACTATTTAGGCTCTACGTTAAGCCCTTCCAGACCTGAAACATCCGACAGTCCCGAGCCTATGCCAGGGATGCTGGGCAGCCTGGCGACCAGTACCAAATCAAGCCTCTTGCCTCCCTATGTTCAATCAGGGTTTTTCGGGTTCAGGTTTTAGAGTTTCGTAACGCATTTTGGACACGTTTCTTGTCACGGTAGTTCCTCTTGTGTTTGTACGTTGGTTGAACCCCTTCATCGTTGTCATGTTTGGATACTTGGATACCGGTACCGTCAGCGTCCTCGTTTTCGAACTAGCGGTCCGCGGCTGGCCTCAGGGTTTTGTTTTTCATTTTCTCGGCCGATAGATAGATTGGTGGATTGATGGATGGATGGATGGACGAACGGACGGACGGATGGATGTACGGGTGGACGGGTGGCTGGATGGACGGAGGGACAGAGTAACAGACAGAAAACGAGCTGGGTAGATGGATAGGTAGGCATGTATGTAGATGTAGCCTGCACTGTCAACACACTTGTGCTCAGAGGTCTGAGCCTATGTAGTTGGTAACAGTATCTCCTCATATTATAGTCCTTGTTATCATGATAGGATGTCAGATCCCCCAATACCCTGTTCAAAGGCCTCATCATTACGCGCCATAAATTGCACTGACAACCCGACGCTTGTAATCCCCTTTATCTCTGCAGTATATTACATCCACCGGGAGAAGCCCACAATAAAACAACCTTAAAGCTAAAACCCTACAGCCCAAAACCTGAGCCCTAAACCCTAAACCCTAAAGCCTTCAGCCCGAGAGGCCCTTCAACCCTAACCCCCAAACCCTACACCCCGATCCTCATGAGCTCGAGGCTCCTGCAAGGCCGCTTCCGGGCCGTGACCTGGGAGAAAGTGAAGCAAGCGTGGCTGGGCTCCTTTGGGTTTAGGGATTTAGCGATTCAGGGGTTTAGGGGTTTAGGGTTTGGGGTAAATCTCTTTACGGTTTAGGGTTCAGGGTTTCATGGGCTCTTCTAAGGTGTTTAAGGGTTTCGGGTTCTGGTTCCTCTGTGGGTTCCTTTAAGGCTTCCTTTAGGGGTTTAGGGCCTCCGGTTCAGGGTTCAGGCTTCAGGGTTTAAGGTTTAGAAATTCCGGCTCAGGGTTTCGGGGTAAGGGTATGATTAAAAGCTGGTCTCTACAGGGTTTTAATGGATTCTGGGACGCATCTTGGCACCGGTTTCCCTACACCCCCAAACCTGAACCCTACATCCTGAACCCGAAACCCTGTGCGCTTTGCAGTAGGAATTGGGATCAAGGGTTTAGGGTAAGAACTTACTTTGCTGAGGTACACTCATGGTACAAACATTGTTGAATCCAAAAGCTGCGAAGACCGAAATCCTAGGCTTTAGCAGAAGAGGACGCAGCAGCAGCCTGCCTTCCTCCGACACCGCAAAACCTCTTAGTGCTGCACTAGTACAGAAGCCTCGATAAACAGTGCGCCTTTACATTCGCAGCATTTCCAGACCCTAAACCCCTAAACCGCGTTTGGAGTTTTGAAAAATTCTTCTAAACGGACGTCCCGCCCCAGAACCTCGTTTTGACTCTTCAGCCGTACAAGAAACGAAAGACCAGCACGCTCAGGTTCTGAGCGTGCACGCGGCCCGATGCTGCTGAAGTGCTTAGTGCTTAGCCAAAGCTGCAGACCTTGAACCCGAAGCCCCGAAAGGCTCAACCCTAAACCCCCGGAGCAACTCCTAAAATCCTAACTACACCTAAACCTAAAGCCTTACAGTACAGCCCAAAACCCTTGAAACCCCTACAGCAACTCCTCAAGCCCGAAACCCCCTTCCGTCCACAGCCCCTAAATCCCTAAACCCGAAATCCCGCAACCCCGTAAGTTGGGTGTCGCCGGATGTTTCGCGAGTTTTGGAGCTCTTGGGCTCTTAGGGCGGCGGGTGGCCGTAGTTTTAACGTCTTCCGGCGGCCGCACGGAAATGGGGGGCCGCAGGTTTGGCATTTGGGTTTTGGGCTTTAGGGTTGAGGGTTTGGGGAGTTTAGGTTTTGGGATTTTGGGGTTTGGGGTCTAGGCGGTCGCAGATTGCGTTTTATGGATTTCGGATTTGAGCTTTGGGATCCACGGCGCGATTCAAAAAATTAGGCCCCGCCTTAAAGCCTTAAATTCCGAAACCCCAAAATCCCGAAAGCACTGAAACCCAAAACTCCTAATCCCTTAAGCCACCAAACCTGAACACTTGACCCCTAAGCCCCTAAACCTCTAAACACCAAACCTCTAAGCCCCAAACCCATGAAGCCCACAAGCCACACCCCTAAACCCTAAATCCCGGAACCCTAAGCCTAAGCCCATAAACCCCTAAACCGTGAAACCGCCAAGCCCTAACTGCTGCTTCATACTCGAAAATATTCTAACCTACCAAGCCCTACTTTCTTGTAGGTTCTTAATATAGAGCCTAATCTGAAACTTGTAGGGACCCTCCAAAAAGTAGGTTTTGGTAGGTTAAGGTAGATGCTCCGAGGCTGAGCGCCTACGCGAAGCTCCTGACGCCTAAACTTTCAAGTCCTACTATAGAGGTCGCAAGGCTTACGTTTAGGGTTTAGGGTTTAGGGTTTAGGGTTTAGGGTTTAGGGTTTAGGGTTTAGGGTTTAGGGTTTAGGGTTTAGGGTTTAGGGTTTAGGGTTTAGGGTTTAGGGTTTAGGGTTTAGGGTTTAGGGTTTAGGGTTTAGGGTTTAGGGTCTCGTGGATGGTTCAGAGTTTCCGGATTGATGCCGGGGTCCGGAAGGTTTGCAGTATTCCCCTTTAGGGCTTTGTATTGTGATTCTAGCAGCAACCTACCCCGAAACCTTACTCTGAGTAAAAACGTCCCTACAGCCCCCAAAGCCTAGGATCCGAAGCCACAGCCCTGAACCGTAAAGTCCAGGTGCGAGCCTTAAGCCCTATACTAAACCCCTAAACCCCTAAACCCGAAGCCTCTAAGCCAGCTCCAAACCCCTGAACTCGAAACTCCTGCCCTTAAACCCTAAAAGCAAACCAAACCCCTAGCAACAGATGCTTTGCAGACTGTCACAGTCATTCTGGGTATCTGTTTCCAACGCAACAGCAATTTGGCTACTGACTGTCAGATAACTGTAGGGGCCTTCATAACTACCAGTACTATTTTGTAATTTGAAACGCTGCGCGTCGTCCGCCTCGGCCCGGCTGTACGCGCATGCGGCAAGTGGCTACTATCTGCAGCAAGCTCTTGTAGGAAAAAAGTAACAGTTGGAATCGCACTTATAGTAAAAGTAATGTTCATAGCAACACGAAGCAGGATGATTGTGAGTAGTATTGGTAGTGGTAGTATCAGTACGAATTTTGGTGTCGTCATTCCGAAACACTGGATACCAAGACTCTCGCAAGCGGTGGGATGCCTTAAGTATGGGCCGTTGAGGCTGTGGATTTCGTGGGCGTCTTGGATTAGGGAAGCATCAGACCCTTTTCAACCACGTTACTCCGCCTATCCCAACGAAAGGGCGTCTAAAACAAGCCTGAGACGCACATGAACATGCTACATTGCAGTCCCGTGTCGTCGAAAACTCCAGAAAGCTCGCACCTGTCAGAGCGAGCGGAGGAGGGGCGGGAGGGAAGGGGGAAGGGGGGGGGGAGGGGGGGGGGGGAGAGGGGGGGGAGGGGGGGAGAGGTGGGTCTGCCTACAGGACTGCCGTTGGGGGCGACAATTCACACCGGACCTTGGGGCGACACGTTTCCATTTTTAAGGGGGGGGGGGGGGGGGTGTCACTGGGGAGGGGATTAAGAGGTGGGGAATAGGAGAATCCGAATAGGAACCTCTGACGCCGGGGCCGACAGTATAATGGGCCCCAAAACCCTGTTCTAAATATTAAGGCCCGACTCCTCAACCCGAAAGCTTAAACCCTAAACCCTAAACCCGAATCCTAAACCCAAGCCCTAGTAGACCGCAAATGCTAACGCCTAGTCGGGTTTAGGGTTTAGGTTTGAGTCGAGTCCTTCGGTTGATGATATAAATCCTGCATTACCCATAATAAGGAATATATCATAATTCCCAATTCCTTATTATGCCTAATGCAGGATTTATAGCATCAACCGTTACATTGTGGAGCCTCAGACCTGAACTTCAAATCGTTGACGCAACGAAAGCCAACACCATTTCCTGTGCTTCTCTGCAGCCAGCTTACCCACAAAAAATGCAGGCAGGCACGGTAATAATTCGAAAAAATAGTAGTTCCTAACAAAAAAGCCAATGTTCCAGCAATAACGACTTGGGTCTTTGGGTCTTTGGGTCTTTGGGCTCTACAGTAGAAGCCAGAAAGTTGGAATATTATTATCCTAAACCTTTTTATGGTAAATTATCGGGTATCCTACCCTGAAATCATATTCCAACTTTCTGGAGTTCCCTTTAGTACCGCCTTATCGGCCCTGTACAAATACACAGTATACGTGAATATGAGGCGGCCCGATGTCAGCCGAAGGATTGGGCAAAACCCTACCTTCACCGCCCACAGGAGCTTCGGTCGTAGGGCTTTCAGGGCTTTAAAGGTTTTAGGGTCTTAGCTTTAGGTTGAGAGTTTCACACTCTACTTGGAGGTTCATGGGTATGTAGAATTGGGGCTATAAGTAGGGTAACTATACTTATAACCTATTTTACGGGGCTTACCCCTGAACCTCCAGGTATGGACCCAGGGTTTGAACACGGAAGGGATCGTACGGCCAAACATCCGACAATATCGCAGCCGGCCATGGCATCTGCTTACCCAACAGGGGCGAGCGCAGACAGCACCTTTGAGCCAGGAAGAGGGGCTGGTGCTTAAATTGTAAAGACGGAGACCTACTACCTGTAATACCTATGCCTCAACTCTAATCCCTATTCCCTGAACTCTATCTGAGTCGTTCTCTAAAATGAAGGTCCCTTCAGGGTACTTTTTACAGGTATCGTACTATTTGGAAACCAAAAAGAGGGACCCTAATTCCGAGAACTACCTATTTCCTAAACCCCCAACCCTACTTCCTGAACCGGGTTTCACAAATAGTAGGGCTTTGGGAGGATTACTTGGAGGTTCATGGGTAGCTAGAAATGGGCTTCTAAGTCCCATAAGATGGGTTATAGTTATCCTACTTATAACTTTAAACCCCTAAACCCTAAACCCAAACCGCTTATAACCACCCCTGAACCTCCAAGAGAACCCTAAACCCTAAACCCTAATCCCTAAACCCCTAAACCCTAAACCCTAAACCCTAAGAGGAGAGGAGTGTTTTCTCGATCTGAGTCAAGGCTAAAGGGTTCGGGGACGCCGATCGTAAGAGCTGTAGGTGAGGGGGTGGGGGGGGGGTGGGCACGGGCCTGGGTTTACTCTAGGGCCTTAATAAGTACCTATTCTATTTTGGTGGTCCTTATCACACTTCCAGTATAGTTGTCCCCAAAACCCTGTTCTAATCGTTGGGCCCCTAGATTAGGGGGCGTGGGCACGGGTCTGGGCCTAGGCTCACGGGTAGGCGTTGAAGGTGTCATTAAGGCCCTGGCCGAGCGTACATCAAGAAACCCTGGCCTTCGAACCCAACCGTAAGGGTTGATGATATAAATCCTGCATTACCTTAAGGACCCTAAACTATGGGAATTATGGTATATTCCTTATTATGGGTAATGCAGGGTTTATATCATCAACAGAAGGGTTAGGGGCGACATGGGAGTTTCCGAAAATTGATTTTGGGGCCCAATTAGGCTACCATATTAGGGTCCCCTATTTTGGGAAACTCCCACATGCTATGTAGTTGATGGTGTCGAGTTTACGAGGCGCTGAAGCATCAGATTGGCGTTTGAATCCGACGTACACGGAACAATCCCTACTAGGATGCCCAGTAGTACCCTTATTCCCTTTTTGTAGTCCTAGGTTCCTTATAAAGTTACCCAATACCAAAAAAGAGAGGCCTTTTTATTCTTAGGTTACTGGGTATCCTAGTACAGGATTATAGTACCCTTATAGACCCCCCTTATAGTAGCCCCATATAGATCCCTTTAAAGGAACCCTAGCCCCCTTATAGACCCCCTTATAGTAACCCCATATAGATCCCTTTAAAGGAAACCCTAGCCTTGGCTTGTGGTTGCCTGTGGGGTGTGGGCTGACTTAGGGTTTAAGTTCAAGGCTTCGGGCCTTAGGGCCTTGGGGCTTTACGGTTTAGGGTTTAGGGTTTAGGGTTTAGGGTTTAGGGTTTAGGGTTTAGGGTTTAGGGTTTGGGGCTTAGGGCTCCAGGGTGACACTCAGGCCTGCCCAGAGACTCCAATATCCCTTAATTAAGGAATTTACCTTAAATCATATTAAGGATCCTGCTATATTTAAAGGTATATTCCTTAATTAAGGGGTATTGGAGTCTCTGGGTGTGTCACTCGGTTCCTCGCGTACTTGTCGGGGCGGCCCTTAGCTCTAGATGCCGTTGGAAGGTCGCCGCCACTCCTGAGTTGGCATGTGGGGTACCTTAGGGTTCCTTTAGGGGTTACTATAAGGGCATTATAAGGGCCCCTTTATTAAAGAGCTTTATAAGGGTTTAGAGTTTCCGAAAATTGGGGGCACCTCATTTAGGGCTCCTTATAATAAAGGATCCTACTATTGAGGCGACTATAG